CCCCCGGATTACCTGTACCGCCAATGGCAGGAATTTCCACAGAGCCGTTACCTGGTCAAGTCGTGACGCAATTTCCGCAGCCAGTCCCCGGATTACCTGTACCGTCAATGGCAGGGATTCCCACAGAGCCGCTACCTGGTCAAATTGTATCGCAATATCCTCCGCCAGTTCCCGGATTATCTGCACCGGCAATAGCAGGGATTCCCACAGAGCCATTATCTGGTCAAGTTGTGCCGCAATTTCCTCAGCCAATTTCCGGATTACCTGGACCGCCAATGGGAGGAATTCCTGCACCTGGTCAAGTCTTACAGCAGTTTCCTACACCTCACCTGGGACAGTTTCAAGTAGAAGCCGGACCTTCTACGCTTCCGGTCCCGGAATATCCTCCATATAATCAACCATGCTTCCAGACGCCACGTGGACCATTTCCTGGAAGTGGAGGGCAACAATTTCTTGATCAAATTCAGCAACATCAGACCAATATCTCCAGAAATCAGGGACAGAAGCAGCATTATTACAAGGCTGGAGGACTTGTGGTCACCGAGGTAACTCTCCAGTTATCTGAACCGACAATCACTCTCTCTGTGGCAGGCAATAAGCCACCAGATCGAAAAGCGGATACCAAAAAGAAAGGTGGAACAGAAAAGAAAAAAAAAGAGGAGCAAACCCATGTCGAGTTCATTTACGGTCAGAGTACCATGATGCGAGTTGAAGTACCCGGAACAGAGGGTACATGGCAACAACCGAAAGTCAGGATATGGCCACGTGTCAGGAAGCATCGTCGGGACAAGTTGACAGTCAAATATCAAGCTCAAATGATTGAAGATCTTTTTCTACGCGGACCATCTGACTCGGTTAGTCATTATAAACACACAAGTGCGTGTTTTACACTCTTATTCATTTTACAAAGTTTAAAATAATGTACAAAAACATTCATTATTTAATAATATTCATTGTTTCCGTTGTTTTTCTTCCACTAAAGTTTTAATCAAAATTGTATTGATCATACTTAGAAGGCGGCTTTTGCAAAAACATGCAGCACATGCGACTAATTTTTGATAATTTTACTCCTATCTACGATATCCAATTTTTATTTTCCTCCTCCAATCGTAGAACTGAGCCGTCAAGCAGATTGTTCAACTTATAGGAAAGTTCATTAGTGACATGCTTGGATGAAAAATTGGAGACATCTCTGGAAAATATGCCAGAGAAAGTATTGATAAAGATTTTCGAACTCATCGCTCAGGAACAAAACGTTAGTTCAGATGTTCTTTGAAATGGTGATCTATGCTTTCTGATTCGGCCAACGTTATCAGTTGCAATGGAGTCAGCCGAAACAAAGCAACCACCCACTGAAAAGGTGTAAGTTGCATAAAGGACGATCTGTTCTTAAACATGTGCCCAAAATGGCACCATTGCTGTTACATAGACTGTCCGATATGAGAGTTCAGACAGAATCGTTATTTATGAAACAGTGAAGAATGAAATGAATATAGCGATTTTTAAATAATATTACTAAGAAGGCTGTTCTAGAATAAATATATGATCTAAGAAGGTAAGCTTTGATCCCATTGCTAGCGTATCAAGTTTTATAGTTTAAGGGCTAGTGCGCACAATTGTTTTGCTCACAGCAGCAAATCAAGACACCGAGTTTATAGATGACTATATTACTATCGGTTTAAGAAAGATAAAAATATTTGACATAATACTAAGACTGGCAATTTTACTTTTTTAGAATAATCCAAATGTTAGTATTTGTAATATGTATCGATTGAAATTGGTGTGCAGACGGTTTAACGATGTATTGGAAAACAATGCAAAGATATTACCGCGATATCAAGTTAGTGGACTTCGGATTCAAGTAAGCTGGCTTGTCTAATCTTCCAAAGAGAATTTTTCTTTTAAAACTGGTACATCAAAATCTCCCGACTCAAGCGTTATTGAGAATGAAATTTTTTTGCTCAATTCCTAGACGATTTTCTGCTTTGTAATTTTGCACCTGTCCGGGAAGGGAATAAAGAAGTCATTTTGATTTTGAATAGAAAATATCGATAGTTGATGATTTTGCTTTCCAACTTTCTATTAATTTTAGTCAAAAAAAGTGGGTCCGCTAGGCTGCTTTGCAATGGTTTACCGTTATGGTACAGGTGCTTTCGAGCCTCCGTGCGCTTGTTTGGATTTAATTGATATGCCATCGTTCTTGAGGTAACCTCATGAATTCTGCTTTTGCAAGCTTCACCTCATCGTTTAAGCTAGACGAAATTTTTGTTATTGTAGGAGATTATTTGTAGCAATGTTGAGGAAGGCTGATAACGAGGAAGTTCAATTTATACTCGATTTTAATGGGAACAAAATTCCACTAAATTTTTCACTTCAATCATGTCGTTTTTTTAGGCATGACATAATAAGTGGTTTTATATACGTAGATAGAATGGAACTTACGGACAGACTCTTCATAGCATTGAATGAACTGACTTATGCTGAAAATGTAAGTTAGAGGGAAAGAAAAAATGGAAGAATTTACATTTCTCAGAAGGCAATTCTTTTTTCTTTGTTTTCTATTATTACAAAAGGAATTGCGACACATTGGGATAGTGTCTTTTGATTTTTGTGATTTTTTGTGTGACAAATTATTTGTTAAAACTGAAAAACGAAAAATATAAGTAACTTTTATATTTTCCTGCTTTGCTCTTAATTATCATATTTATCTACTTCATAGTCGTCATCAGGAGTTTATTCTCTGGAGAAGTAAGACCACATACTGTTATAATAACTTCATATGTAAAAAGAAGCTTGAAATATTTTGCATTCTATTATTTCCATGGATCTTTTAAGGTACAAAGAATAGTCTTTTCCAAAATCGATTCGATCAATCTTACTTCTGAAAGTGGAATTTGCACATTTTTGGATAAGTTCCCCAATTTATTGGATCTATGCTTCTTCGGTTATTATGAAGAGAATGAACTCGGCCTTGATCATAGTCAGGTGGTCATGCAGATGCAGAGAAGGTGTGCACATTTTACTTCTGTTATTAGTTACGGGATATCTTGCTTTATGGAAGCAAATTAAGCTTTTTTAGTGAACGTGGTAATGGACTCCTTACGCGAAAAGATATGAACAGCATGACAGAGCGGTTGAGACACAAAAGAAAAAACGGATTAAGCGATCCAAGATGAGGGCAGCAGTTCAAAGTAGAACAGTTCAAAATAAAGTGGGAATTCAAAGTAAAGCAGAAATTCAAAGTAAAACAGGAGCTCAAAGTAAAGCAGAAGTTAAGAATAAAGAAATATCAAGCGAAACTTCTCGAGAAAAAAGTGATTGAGAAATTCAATATTCGAATAAAACATTGAAAATTGGCAAGTGCTTATGATCCATGTAACCATTTTTACTGAAAAAGGGTAAATTTTCTAAAGAAGTAGTTTAATTTGTGTTCGCTTCATTGAAAATGGAAGTGGAGCGATTAGATTTTTAAAATATGGTTGATCGCAAAGCTCTACATTTTCGTTTTTAATAAACTTTCTTAGTTAAATTCCTTTGCACTGATTTGCTTTGTTGCAATAACGATATAAGTGATGTTTACCAGATATCATTTGAGACTGTCATGTTTGTTGCTGTGCGACATTGCATGAAGTGAAATACGTTAAGCGGACTCAGCATTGTGTCAATAATGGTTTATTATTTTTGATGGATGATAACATTTTTATACATGCAATTTAGTTTAGACGATGTGTGACTTCCTGATATTTTATATATCATGTAGATTGTCCTTAGCTAATTTCTGCTTCACTAGATTTCTCTTCTGGAAATATTTTCTTCTTACCAGGAACCAGGAAACCGGATTTTGTAATATTCTCTGAAGTTTTGATCTTAATTTTGGAAGTTATGCTGATTGTTTATCAGGAACTTTGTATTTTATCAGTTGTTTGTTTGTGACGATATAATCTGTAGCATCTTCCTGCTTTTACTTTTTTAAAAAAATTTTCAAAGATATTTGTAGGTTTCATAGATTAATCGATTTCTTCAATCCTTTCTTTTGCGTGATGAGTATATTTCATTGGTGTAAGGCATACATTTCTATGCAATAACAACTAGATATTAAATAATTTTAAGCATTCTTTAAAATGTTTCGTTTTTTGTTCTATTCTTTCATAAATAAAATATTGTTTTCACCAATGTTTTTCCTTTCGACTTCTTCTGATAAGGGAATTTGAACAGAAGACCAAAGTTAACATCCGTCAGTGTGAAACTGTATGACTGCTCGAATATAAAAAAGGAAAGAGGAAATTTTAGACATGGAATTCGTATTCA